AGGCAAAGGGCAGTTATAGAAATCTAAATACAGGTATATACAGATGTAAATATATTTATATACATCTTTGATTTCTTTAGTGGCTGTGGATTCAAGTAAAATGAAGTCCTTGACAACTTCAATCTTTTCTCCATTTATCATGATGTCGCTTATGGGCCAGTTGTGAGGATTTAGGTTTTCTTTAACTTGAATTGCAATCAGTACTGAAGGCCACAGTCTTTGATCTTCATTAGCACAAGTTTCAGGTCCTTTTGGATTTCAGCAAACATGGTGTGTCATCTGCATATTGCCATTGTTAATGAGTCATCCTCTAATCCTTATGCTATGTTCTTCTCCATAGGGTCCAGCTTGCATAATGAATAAGAATGGTAGAAGGAACAACCCTGTTGCATTTGGAATCATGAGATATCCCTTTGATCTAGAGTCTAGATCAAACTTTTGAGAGAGGGGAGTCCTTCCTGCCCCCTCACAACAATTTCAAACTCATTTGAATGCCATAAATATCTTTTGACAAGCAAATGAAATCACCATTATCTGAATAATATCCTTTAAATGTTGTCGATTTTACTTCAGAGCCACATGTATGTCCCGAGAGAGCCACATGTGGCTGGCGAGCTGCAGTTTGCCAACCCCTGTTCTAGCCTAACAACTGCTTCTTGGTCTATGTACAGGTTCCACAGGGCTATGGTTAAGTGTTCTGGAATTCCCATTTTGTGCAATGCTTTTACATAGCCAATAAAACATAGTAAACATCTTTCTGATCTTTTCTGCTTTCCACCAAGTTCCGTCTAACATCAGTCAGTCCACAGTCCTTTCTGAGGTCAGCTTGAATTTCTGGCAACTCCCTGCCAAGCTACTCCGACCTTCTTGTTTAGTTATCATCAGCAAAATTTTACTTGCATATGATACCGTTCAATAATCCTCCCATTCTGTTGGACCACTTTTATTTGGAATAAGCACACATACGGATCTCTTCCAGTCAATTTTCTGGTATAAACGACTTTTTCTAGCTTTTTGACACCTTTTAATTGGCATTTTGTCAATTCCTAGAGCCGGTTTTTTGCTGATGCCTTCAGTGCAGTTTGGGCTTCTTTCGGTGCCATCAGATCTTTGTCATATGCCACCTCTGAAAGGGTTGGGTGTCAGTTTGTTTGTTTGTTTTGCTTTTTGATACAGTGACTCTATTTTCTTTTGATGTTTCCTGCATTGATCAGTATTTTACCCCTAGAATCCTCCCATATTTCAACTCAAGGCTTGAGTTTTTCCTTCCTTTGTTTTCAGCTTGAGATAAGCTAAATGTGCTCTTCCTTTGGAGCTTTCTAGCGCTAGGTCTTTGTGAAGTTTATTATATAAATTCACTCCATCTTCTTGATCTGCCTTTTGAAAATTTCCATTCACCTGTTCCGGTCTCGCTGCCAGGGAGTATGCGGCTCTGCCGTGTGAATTCACTCCTCTGCCGCTGCTGCCGTGGCTCGTGGTCCCAAGAAGCACCTGAAGCGCGTAGCTGCTCCAAAGCATTGGATGCTGGACAAACTCACTGGGGTGTTTGCTCCTCGTCCATCCACTGGTCCCCACAAGCTGAGAGAATGTCTCCCGCTGATCATTTTCTTAAGAAATGACTTAAGTGTGCTCTGACTGGAGATGAAGTTAAAAAAAATTTGCATGCAGCGGTTCATTACGATTGATGGCAAGGTCCGAACTGATACAACCTACCCTGCTGGTGGTATGATTGTCATCACCATTGACAAGACCGGAGAGAATCTCCGTCTGATCCACGACACCAAGGGTGGCTTTGCTGTTCCTCGCATTACACCTGAGGAGACGAAGTACAAGTTGTGCAAAGTAAGAAAGATCTTTGTGGGCACAAAAGGAATCCCTCACCTGGTGACTCATGATGCTCGAACCATCTGCTATTCTCATCTCCTCATCAAGGTGAAGGACACCATTCAGATTGATTTGGAGACTGGAAAGATGATTGATTTCATCAAGTTCGACACAGGCAACAGGTGTATGGTGACCGGAGGTGCTAACCTGGGAAGAATTGGTGTGATCGCTAATAGAGAGGAACACCCTGGCTCTTTTGATGTGGTTCATGTGAAAGATGCCCATGGCAATAGCTTTGCCACCCAGCTTTCCAACATTTTTGTTATTGGAAAAGGCAACAAACCCTGGATTTCTCTTCCCCGAGGGAAAGGTATCCGCCTCCCCATTGCTGAAGAGAGAGACGAGAGACTGGCTGCCAAACAGAGCAGTGGGTGAAATCATCTTGAGGTGGAGTGAATGAAGAGATCTCTACAATAACAAATGAGGCTTTTTCCCCCTTTGTAAAAAAATTTTTAGCATAATTAAAAAAAATTTTTTTAGCATAATTTTTAAAAGTAGTTACTTCTGATTGAACTATTGGATTGTATGGTATGTGAATTATTTGCCAATAAAACTGTTAGAAAACTAAAAAAAACAATAAAATACTGCTCAGAAAAAAGAAAGAAAATTTCCATTCAGATCTTGGACCTCATCGTTTCTTCCATTTGCCTTAACTACTGCACAATCAAGAGCACGTTCCAGAGTCTCTTCTGACATCCATGTTGGCCTTTTCTTGCTTTCGTGTCTTTGGACTGTCCCGTTGGTAACTTCTTTCACGTGCTATTCTGGACGTCTTCCCTCTGGCGGGGCGGGGCTCACCTTCTAAGCAGAATAAGCTGTGGCTGTAGAATCAACTTCAGTCTGTACACCCCCGTGCCTGTCAGAGGGCAGCTGTGTACTCCAGAGGATTTATCAAGAAGATTGCCGGCCTGTTTCTGAGCCACCTCGAGGCAGACTTGACTCTCTATGCTTCCAGCTATCAGCTGAGCACATTAACCATTTGCAGCACCCTAGGATTCCATGGAGAGCCATCGACTTGCTGTACTGGTGCGGCACGAGCAAGCACGTGGGCCGCTTCTCCCCTTGCCACCTCCATTCCCTTTTCAACAATTTGTGCAGGGGGCTATCAGCAAATGTTTCCTCTCCTTTTATTATTTTTTTCTTTCAGTATGATAAATGCCTTCCAAGAAATAGAAACCAGATTTGGGATGGCATTACTGCTCCCATCTATTAACGGGCTTTCATATCTTCTGATCCTGTCTTCCAGAAGGACTAACACACCACTTGCTTAATCAGTTCAGAAGGTCCTCTACTTGTCAATTCTCAAGTTCATTGCATGACTGGGAGCAAAGCTTCACTCCAGACAGAAAAAGGGTCCAGTTTGCTTGGCGCTAAGAAAGGCAATAGCAGCCCTGCCCAGTCATCTTCAACCTGTGACCAGCCTGCTTCTCCCTGCTTCACCTCTCAGGCATGGTCCGAAACTTATGAACCCCATCGTGTCCAGTCAGCACAAGCCCATCAGCATGAGAAGAGGTGCACTGGTATAATATTTCGGTTACGTTGGAAGTGGACGGAAAATGGCCAGTGTTTGCTTGCAGATGTGCCTTTGGGGGTTTACTAGCTTAAGGGGCTGCCCATTGCTCCTCACAGGGCAAAGTGTGTGGAAGAGGGTTGCTTCGGTGCTCCTCCTCCAAGACAACAGTCACTGTCATGGGGATGATGTCAACGTATTGCTACCCTGTAGGACAGGGCGGAGCCGGCCCTGTGCGTTTCCTAGACTGTAACTCTTGACAGGAGCAGAAAGCCCCGTCCTTCTCCCGTGAAGTTGCTGGTGGTTTCAAATGGCTGACCATGAGGATCGCAGCCCAACGACTAACCACTATGCCACCAGGACCCCTTCTGTACTCCTAGGGAAGGGGCATTTTGAATGCGGTTTTCTCATCAGCCTCAAAACCCTTTTTGAGGGAACAAAACATAGACACACACACCCCAATGGTGTATATGCAGGTTTTAAAAAGTAAGAACGTGTGTATTTGGACAGGACAGTCAAGGCTATTTATTTTGTGTTTAAATGACTCCTCTTTGGTTTTGTCTTGCAAATCCTCGTGGCATTCCCAGGAGGCCTCACCTGAGTCCTGTTTTCCAATTATAGGCAGCAATCTCACCAAATCAGTCACTGAAAAGGAACTGTTTGTTTGGGCACATCCATTTTAAAATCCAATTTTGCTTGTGAACAAAAGAGAAAGATAATTATAGTATTAACTTCTTATTTATTTAGTGCAGTGGGGCATCCAGAGAACAGCAATCAAAAAGAAGCAAGCATTTCCAAGTGTCCACAACTGCCACGTCCCCATCTTGACTTACTTTCACAATTCACATCCAGACCAAGCGCTATATTTTTATTGGTCTATAGTGAACGTAGCATGCAATTCAATGGTTCAATCATACCAGAAGGGTGGGGTAATCATCATCACAATCCATTTTGTAGCTTTTTTCTCCCCTTTTACACATTGATGGTAAGCCCCCCTTTTCTCCTCCCTCTCTCTCTCTGTGGTCCCAGGTAATCATCAATCCCGTTTTCATCTTCTTATTTCCATCCATCTCAGTTTCTCTACACAGATAACTACAGAAGACTGGGGCAGACAGCAAGCAAAGATCTGTCAACAATGGCCATTCAAAACTGCTAAAGACTTCAATCTAATAGAAAGCAGAGACGCTTAAGTTTAGGAGTAATTTCACATGGGGTCCGTAGGGAGACCATATTCAAGAACATTCATTAATTCCAGCCTGCATACAGTTGCCAAACTACCCTTTACAGGGCTCACCCACCACCTGCTTTGGGGTTACTGTTGTTTCTAGCCAACATGTATTGGGATTCCCTGGAGGCCTATTCCATGTAGTGATCCTGTACTTGGCTTATGAGCTACCATTCGCATCCGTAGTTTCCTGCAAGCTGGGTATTTAGCTCCTGGCTATCATGAATAATAGCCTCTGGGGCCTTAAAGGCTTGTCTCAAAAGCAGTAGTCACCTAAGCAAGGAGTCATCTAAGTCCATACAGAAGAAGCACACCACCTTGTGTGGTCCAAGACTGCTATAATAAGATCCAAACCTGGAAAAGGGAACAGTACTCGTGGCCATACTCTAGGTATAAACTGTGGTGACTTTCACTCTTCTGGGGCTTGCTTGCTTCTTTACAATGGGCTTACACCTTCAAGCCACAGACATAGGTTTTTAAGAACTCTTTTCATTTCAAGTGACAGAAACTCAACTCAAGCAGAGAAGGAAACTTACCACCCCATCTAAATATGGAGGTAAAGCCTTAGGCATGGGATAGATCCTGGGTCCAAACAAGACCTCTCTCTTTTCTTCTATTTCTCATCTTGCTTTGCTTCATCCTCAAGCTCCCAGATTTTCAGTATCCAGTCTACATTGTCCTTGAAGCTCATGATCTCAGAGGTCTAGTGAATGTCTATTCTTATAGCCCAATACAATCTCAGGGAAGACTCTGAGAGGTGTGGTATAATTCACATGCCCATCCCTGAACCAAACTATTCTGCAGATGATTTTAGAATACTATGATTGAATATACTTGGGTCAGTTGCAGGGAAGAGCCACATAAACTAAACAAAATGGCTATAGAATTGAGTCCAA